ATTTGAAGTGGCTATTGTGAAAATGAAGTAAATGAAGGTATGAATACTCAGGATGGCCAGGAAGCCCACTGCTGATGAGAATGGAGACCCTTTATTTATAGCAGGATCAATCTGTGCAGTTGGGTGATTTTTTCCCCCCCTCCTGTTTTTTTTTTTTTTTATGTTTGGGTTGTAGATGGACATGGTACCTTTATTTATTTATCTTTATGTGGTGTTGAGGACCGAACCCAGTGCCTCTCCCATGCTAGGTGAGTGCTCTACAACTGAACCACAACCCCAGCCCTCCTCTCCTGTTTTTTTCAAAACAAATTCATCCCTGATTGCTGTGGATGGCAGCTGGGGTAAAGAAGCTATTAGTCCTCAAGAGTCTGCAGTAATGGACTGTAGAATCTGAGCTGTATAAGGAGGGAGATGAAGATGTGTCCTTAATATCTCCTCTCCTCCTCTTCCCGAACAATCTCATCTATGCTCATAGTTTTAGTTACCCTATGAGAGGAGAGAGCAAAGTCCTTTTCAGAAATGGAAGGAAGGCCCATATGGCTTGAACACAGATTTAGGACTGAAGTGCCACAAGAAATAGGTTGGGGAGAGAGGTCTGGCTCACAGACTGTTAAGCCCTCTGCTTTAGGTTCAGGACCACACAGTCAAGGTCTATTCTGTTGAAATGGTTTTCCTTTTCCTTTTTTTTTATTATATATATATAACAGGCAGATAAAGAGGAATCATGTGTTGTATTGTTACTGATAGACAGTAGAGGTGCACTCTGGGCTAGAAGTAGGAATCCATATTTGAGAGCACTGCAGAGTATGTAGTAATTGAAGCCATGGCATGAATGAAATTAAATATGAAAAAAACTATATTTCACCATACCAAATCACTTTTAACTCTTGACATGTTCTTTCGAAGCCTTGAGCCTTTGCTTGTTTATTTGGATTTTCACTTCCCTATCTCCTTTGTTTTATTTCCTTCTTATCCCGTAAGTGCCAGGCTACTTATCATTTCCTCAGGGAATTTGTGTACACTTTTATATTTAGCTTTTTACTTTCAAGATTATGTTGTTATAGTTTTTCATCTTGCAATATGGTCTTTATAATGACCCTTTTTAACATATATATTGGTGTGTGTGTGTGTGTGTATGTATATATATATGTGTGTGTGTGTGTGTGTATATATATATATATGTTTACTTAATTTACTTAATTTTTCTCCTAGAAAGAGCTGTTATCATAGAATATGCAAAGGTAGAATGGCTGCCTTATTAATGAGTTCAGAATTGTAGAGGGCAATTACAAAGGCTTGAAAATACCTGGAGTTGTTTTAGAAAGGATTTTAGCCCCAGATGGGTTGAACTTAATATCTTTCTAAAAAATCCTCCTCTGTTCCTGAAATTTGATGGTTCTTTTATTCTTTTATGTTTGTAGCCTAAGTGAATGTGAACATCTTGGGTGTTTGTATATAAATATAAATTTCAAGAAGTTGAAGACATTGCTCTCAAAAATATAAGGAGCATATGTATCTGAGGCTTATTTAACTCAAGAATGAGGGTATAAGTAATAAAACTTTTTTTTTTTTTAAAAGAGAGTGAGAGAGGAGAGAGAGAGAGAGAGAGAGAATTTTTAATATTTTTATTTTCTAGTTCTCGGCTGACACAACATCTTTGTTGGTATGTGGTGCTGAGGATGGAACCTGGGCTGCACGCATGCCAGGCAAGCGCACTACCGCTTGAGCCAAATCCCCAGCCCCAGTAGTAAAACTTTTGAGGAAAACAGATTTATGTGATCATGATGAAATAAGTTTGTAAGTTCGATAAGAAGCATTAATAGTTTTGTTAAGACAATAAACCTAAACTTTTTCTATTATATCTCTTAATAGAATCAAAGTCAGCCAGGTGTGGTAGCACATGCCTGAAATCCCAGCACTCCAGAGGCTGAAAGGAAGATTGCAAGTTCAAGGCCAGCCTCAGCAATTTAGCAAGGCTCTAAGCAACTTAGACCCTGTCTCAAAATTAAAAATAAAAAGGGCTAGGGATATAGCTCAGTGGTAAAGTGTCCTGGGTTCAAGCCCCAGTCCCTGATTCCTGCCAAAAAAAGAATCGAAATCATTTATAGCTTATCAGTATTCTATAAGTTAACATCTATATTTAGGTTCTTTTCAGTAGTAAAGAGTAAGTCAAACAAAGGTACTTTTTCTTTTTTTTAATTTTTTTTTATTTACTTACTTAGTTTTTATTTGTTCTAAATAGTTATACATGACAGTAGAATGCCTTTAGACATATCATACATAAATGGAGTATAAATTCTCATTCTGGTTGTACATGATGTAGTTACACAGGTTGTGTAATCATATATGCACATAGAGTAATAAAGTCTAACTCATTCTATTATCATTCCTACCCGCATACCCACTCCCCTTTCTTCACTCCCTCTGTCTAATCTGAAGTATCTCTGTTCTTCCCTGATCAACCCCCACCCCTCTTATTGTGACTTAGCATCCTCATATCAGAGAGAACATTCAGCCACAAAGCTACATTTTCTTAGACAAGAGTTTAGCAAACTTTTTTTTTTTTTTGGTGCTTAGGATTGAACTCCAGGGGTGCCTTATCAATGAGCTAACCCCCCAGCCCTTTTTAATTTTTTTATTTTGAGATAGGCTTTGATAAATTACTGAAGTTGGCCTCAAGTTTGAATTCTCCTCCCAGCCTCCTGAGACATTGGAATTATAGGTTTACATCTAGTTCAGTCAGGCATTACCTCATCTGGCTGGCAAACTTTCTCTTAAAGGGCCAGGTAGTATTTTAGGATTTGTGGGCTTAATAATGGTCTGCTTTACTCTACCACCTAGAGCAAAAGCTGCCCTAGACAACATAAATAAATGAATGTGACTCTGTTCTAATAAAACTTTATTTACAAAAACAGGAGGTAGTCCAAGTCGGCTCCTAGGCATAGTTTATTGAATCTGTATGATATTCTTTTTTCACTCTTGATACTGTTAATGACTAGGCTCTCTCTCTTTTTTTATTTCCTGTGATTTGTCTGACAAGGGTTTTATTGATCTTTCAAATAACCAGATTTTAGGTTTCTTCATTTTTTTGTTTGTTTGTTTGCTTTTTATTTCATTGATTACACTTTGTTATTTCTTTTTTCTTATTTGGGGGTTTAATTTTTTTTTCAAGTTTTTATGATGGAAGCAAATGTCTTTTTTTCTATTTAAGTTTAAACTTTATTTTTTTAAATTTAAGTTTAAACTTTTAGTTTTCCTTTTTGAATGCATATGTATATTTACATGAACAAAAATGCTTTATTTTAAAAAGTCTAAGTAAGACCATAATATATAGATTTTGTGAAACTTTTTTAAACTTAAGATATTATGGTGATACCTCTGTGGCTGTATAGAGAATTTTACCTCATTCTTTTCCATTGCTAAATTGCATTCTATAGTAACCATTTCCATACTGACAGACAATTAGGTTCTTCAGATATTTAATTAGTATAAATCTTAATATAATGAAAATTTTTATGTATGTTAAATCTTTATATTAGTATAAATCTTAATATAATGAACATTTTTCCAGGACAGAGGTGCACAGAATATTTTTGTTAAATGTTTAACTTATTGAGTAGCGTTCAGAAGAAATAAATGAATTTTGCGTGATATGCCACACTAAATATAATTGATGATCATTTCTTTGTTTGAATGTTCTTATTTTGTTTATGGGCTTTGGCACCCAGAGCATGAAGTTTAAAGAGATACTTCCTGGGGCTGAGGCTGTAACTTAGTGGTTAAAGTGCTTGCCTCATATGTGTGAGGCGCTGGGTTCAATCCTCAGCACCACATAAAAATAAATAAAGATACTGTGTGTTCATCTACACCTAAATAAAAATAAATAAAGAGGTACTTACCTGTCAAGGATCCTTAAAGCTACCCTGATGTGACTCTGAGAGTGAACATCTTAAGTTTTGTATCTGGGATTCCTCTCTTGCTTTAGTCTTGTTCTGTTCCTCTATAACCCTGACCACATGGTTAAAAACACCTGTGTAATACAGACCTTTAAAATTAATTTATAGGGGCTGGGGTTATGGCTCAGCGGTAGAGTGCTCACTTAGCATTTGCAAGGCCAAGGGTTCTATCCTTAGCACCACATAAGAATAAATATAAAATAAAGGTATTGTGTCCAACTACAACTTAAAAAATATTTTTTAAAAATTGACTTGTAACAACTTTTCTTCAGAACATTTTTTTTTTTTTTTGAGTGGTGTTGGGGATTGAACCCAGGGCCTTGTGCATGTGAGGTTCTCTTTCATGACATAATTTTTTGGTAATCTTTACTACCACTCTGGCTAATGCCATACTATCAAAGCCACTTGACTTTGATGGCAAACAATTGGTTAGAAAACATATGTACCTGTAATCTAATGAGGTCAAGAATACTTAGTTTGTGTTGCTACCAGTTCTAGCTGGTTCAGCCATGTGTTCTGGTCCCATAGTCTTAATATTGTCCCTGCAGGATACCTTGGAGGTCAAGTGTTAGGACTCTGTCCCCTGGAGTTTCTGTATTTCTTTCTTTTAATACCTACTTATTTATTTTTATGCAGTGCCGAGGATCAAACCCAGTGCCTCATGTGCTAGGCAAGTGCTCTGCCACTGAGCTTTAATCTCAGTCCTAGTCCTATGTATTTCCATGAGAATGGTGATTTTTAAACTTTCATCTTTTTTCTGTTTCTTAAACTGAAATTCTGCATAAGACTGTATGAGGCAGGAACTCATTGAGATGGGGAGCCATTGGCCATTGATGAATGTGGAACAGTTCTCCTACAAGCTAAAATCTCCTGAGCCAAAAAAACATTGTGTTTCACTCCTCTCTTCCACTTACTTGACAGTTTTCTCACCCTATTAAAAACCTGTCTTCAAAATATCCTTGAATGTTGGTCAGTTCAGAGCTTTTTATGGAGTAGTAGATTGTTTTTGATTCATCCTAAAATGTTTTCATTATTTGTTTTTAGATGCTGTTGAAAGCAGGTGCCACCAGGGGAAGACACAATTTGGAGTTGGCCTGAGAACTGGGAGAGAAAATCACTTCTGGCTTCTTAAAGGAACCCCGTCTCTCCATTCATGTTGGGCTGCCTGCTGTCAGGACTCGGCCTGCCATGCTCTTTGGTGGCTAGAAGGGATATGCATTCAGGCTGACTGCAGCAAGCCCCAGAGCTGCCAGCCTTTTAGGACAGACTCTTCTAATTCTATGCTGGTATTTTTTAAAAAATTCCAAGCTGCAGATGATTTGGGCTTTCTATCTGAAGAGGATATACCACGTATTCTGGAGGAGGCCTCTTGGAGGAGACTGAGCCCATCCAGAGCTCCATTCAGATCTGCTGTATTTTCCAGTGACCAACAGAGCTTAATCAGGAAGCTTCAGAAGAGAGATATTTCCAGAGAAGTCCTTCCACCTATAGTAGCACAGCATTCTAAAGAGAATGACTCCAACGAACTAGGTGTTCTGAGTGCCAGTGGCTTGGCAGAGGTAAGCATATTACGAATAAGAAGCAGAGAAACTTCAATCTGCTGTTTCATTTTCCACATACAAGTAGTGAGGCTGAGGTGGTGGGCAGTGCTCACAGGCTGAGGAACATATGTGTAAAGTTACAAGGTGCCATCTTCATTGGTATTGCCCAGATGTACAAGGATAATGTGACTTTTGAAATGTTCACTTCATGCAAGTCTGACCATTGGTTTTTTTTTTTTTTTTTTTTTTTTTTTTGGTAAAAGCAGAAAGCTGCTTATTATCTGATCTAATCTGATTCTTGGCTATAGGTAAGTAATTGTGTGCGTGTTAGTCTCTACAATGCTTCTGTGATGTTTTCTGTCAGATTGCAAAACAGTTGATTGATGTATTTGTAGTTAGGTTCTCCTCTATCTTCCTCTGTAAAATACATTTCTTATGAGGTAAGTTTTTATTCCAGTCTGAATTAACTATGCCTGGTACTGCAGCCTAAGATCTGACTTGCTGGATTGGGAAGCTGAATGTGGCCTTTAGCCAAGTTGTCTCTGGGGTGAATTCTTACCAAGCTGCATATTGCCAAGGGACATACCACCAGGAAAGTTTATTCTGCTTATTATATTTCTTCATTGTTGATCTTCCTGGGCAAATGATTAAAAGGAATGACTCACTCTATGCTTAGTCTCCCTTGATTACTGTGACTTATTTTTGTATTTGTTTTGTCCTAGTTGTCTCCATCAAGTTGAAGCCAGTGTGGGGAGGCTACTATATACCAGGCGCTGTGTGTGCTAATTGTTGTACTATGTCATTTTGTTTTATTTTCATAGCAATATTTCCAAGTAGGTATTATTAGCCCTGTTTTACTAGTGAGGAAACTGAGGCCCAGTGAGTTTGAACAATTACTGGTGACCATGCAGCTAATCATTAGCATAACTAGAATTGGAATTCAGTTTTATAGTAAGGAAAAAACTGTTTCAGTACAGTAGTAGAGTATATAAGTCTTTGGTTTAATAACCATAGACATTTTTGGAAACCTACTATCACTGTCAGGTAATTTTCCAAGCATTGGAAGTACAGAAGTGAACTAGACATGGTCCATGCCCTCAGGTCATTTATAGTCTAGTGGAGCCTGAGACTCAAAGCTAGGTATTTATGATAGTGTATAACTATTACATTAATAGTAATTGTTATTTATATATATAATACAGTGAGAACACAAAGAGGAAGTGATTCAGTTGAGCAGGCAGGTGGTATGTATATGCAAGAAGGATTTGATAGAGATTACCAATATTTCTTGAAGGATGTATACGCTTGCACTAAGGGGCTAAAGTAGTAAAAAGCATTCTGTACAGATCCACAGTCTATGTAAAGGCTCAGCCAGCAATTATTTCTTATGCATTTGCCAAGTGCTGGGTAGTATGCTGAGCTGGGTGCTAAGAATATTATAGTAAATAAAAAATATTTGACTACTGTCCCAGCAGAACTCTGGGACAAGGAAATCAGACATTATTATTATTATTATTTTAGCTTTTTTAGTTGTAGTTGGACACAATACCTTTGTTTTATTTATTTATTTTTATGTGGTGCTGAGGATCAAACCCAGTGCCTCACACATGCTAGGCAAGTGCTCTAACATTGAGCTACAACAGTAGCCCCTCAGACGTTATGTTTTTAATAGTTAAATAATAATGTATGCTTGATGTGGATTATATGAGCGTTTAGCAGAAATCTAATAGACTAAGGTGTGAAATAGCCATTGTGAAGGATAGAAGATGGCATACTAGATAAGGAAAAAGGAAGATTGTTGGGTAGTCTTGAAGATGGAAATCATGCATTTATGATAGTGGCACTGATCTTTACATTTGTGTTAGTCTCCTCAATAACTCTCAGCAACCCTATCAAGAAAAGACTGAGTTTAACTTATTCAAAATAGGAAATTTGCTAGGTGATTTGTGTGGAAAGAAATTGGAGCATGGAAATTAAGGTTGTTGTCAAAAGAGTGAATGGGAGAGAGAGAATAAGAAGATATGGAAAGAGGCAAAGATAGGAGGTGACTGATAGAGGTAAAAATAGGGAAGTTTGGCATTTAGAGATTTACGTGCTGGGAAGAGGATGTAGGGGAACTGGTAAATGTGAGTCTTGGTAGGACAGCTGGTAGGTCAGAATATGGGCTTTTTTTTTTTTTTGGTACTGGGGATTGAACTCAGGGGCACTTGACAACTGAGTCACATTCCAGCCCTATTTTGTATTTTTTTTAGAGATAGGGTCTCACTGAGTTGCTTAGCACCTCGCTTTTGCTGAGGCTGGCTTTAAACTCATGATCCTCCTGTCTCAGCCTCCTGAGCCACCGGGATTGTAGGCCTGCGCCACCACACCTGGCTTGAGTTTGTGCTTTTTTGAATTGAAGATTTTGGGGTGGAGAAGTTCTGCTGATGAAAGGATCTGAGGTACCACTATGGAAGAGGTTTGCTGAGATAATCCTCTTCTGAGATAGAGTGGAGTGGAAACAAGGAGCTCAAAGAAGTCCAGAAGCTCAAGAACATGTTAAATTAGTTATCCATGAGGATATTGAGATGGTCTTTAAAAATGATGATGGTGTTGATGATAGCTGTAACAGCTAATGTTTACTAAGCACTTACTGTGTGCCAGATGCCATTTACATGTGTTAACTCTTTTTTTTTTTTTTTTTTCCCTTTGGGTGGTAGTGGGGATTGAACCCAGGGCCATTCTGCTACTGAGCTACATTCCCAGCAGGGTCTTATTATTGAGGCAGAATCTTGCCAATTTGCTAAGCCTGGCCTTGAACTTGTGATCCTCCTGCATCAACCTCCCAAGTAGGTGGGATTATAGAGGTGCACCACCAACCCTGATGTTGTGTTTGCTGGAGAATTTTTTTTCTTCTTGTTTACTAGTGGTGAGCAGTGCAATGTATTAAGTCTTAACACAAATAACAAATAATATTGCTATTATTATTATTATTCCTATTTTATGAAGGAGGAAGCTCAGGAAAAGAAAGGTTAAGGAACATAGCAAGGCAACTCAACTGGCATATGGTGGAACCAAGACTTGAACCTGGGCAATCTGATACTATCCAGAGTCTGTCCTTTTAACCCTTTTACTCCTGAGATAGGGCTTGACATCTGTGTAAGGTAGACAGGGAACAACACTCTAAAGGCTGCCACTCAGCTCAGCCTATAAGTATCACAGTGCTACTTGCATAGACCCCTTTGGTTAAATGTATGATCTTGTGAAATTGAAGGATTCTCAGAAGGACATCTTTCTAGCCCAATAGTCAAGAGCTACTTTTGTTGTTGCCTTGTATAAATTGACTTAAAGACTATTGGTGAGGTTTTTGTGTATTGTTGATATATTGATTCTTGGCTCTTACTCCTGGTCAAGTAAGAAATTTTGTAAATAAATTGCTTAAAAAAAAAAAAGAGATACGGCTTGAGATGAGGGGAAACTTTAAAAGCCAGATGTCAAAGCCACCTATAAAGTAGGAGGAATGATGAGTAAGTTGGAGATGACAGCTATGCTGAAAGCTGAAGTATAGTGCAGCAAGGTAGCAAAGGAAAAGAGGTTTTTATTGGTAGGTAGAAGAGTAATGGTTTGCAAAGGGCATTGGAAAAGGGGTAAAAGAAAATACTTTTAGCATACCAAAGGATAGCTATAGAATTGAACGAATGAATTTAATTTTAATGAAATTAAAAATGGATCACTGAAATTGGAGATATGGTAGATTTAGATCTGAGAATCTCTTGGAAGATAGTGAAAACTCAAACTCAGATCTTACAGAATTCAGTTGTGTGTCAGAAGAAAGACCCTGATGTTGTGTTTGCTAGAGGATTTTTTTTTCTTCTTGTGGTGAGCAGTGCAATGAATTGTTTATTTATTTAATAAGTACTAGGGATTAAACCTAGGGGTGCTTCACTGCTGAGCCACATCCCTAGCCCTTTTTATTTTGAGATAGGCTATCTCTAAATTGCTTAGGGCCTCCCTAACTTGCTGAGGCTGATTTTTGAACCTTCAGACCTTCTACTTCAGCCTCCCAAGTCACTGAGATTACAGGTGTGTGCCACCATGCCTGGCCTCCCATATTTTTAAATCGATATGTTGTAGTTGTACTTAATGGTGGGATTTGTTACATATTTGTACATGCACACAATATAATACTATAATTTAGCCAATATTATTCCTCAGTATTTCCCTTTCTTTCACTTCTTCCCTCCGCCTGGTCCCTTAACTCTACTGATCTTCCTTTGATTTTCATGAGATTCACGCCCCTCACACACTTTCTTTTCTTGTTTTCCTTCCTAGCTTCCACACATGAGAGACCATACAACCCTTAACTTTCTGAGTTTGGCTTATTCCACTTAACATCATGTCTCAAGTTCCATTCATTTTCCTGCAAATGACATAATTTCATTTTTCTTTATGGCTGAATAAAATTCCATTGTGTACATATACCACATTGCCTTTATCCATCTATTGATAAAACGCCTAGGCTGGTTCCATAGTTTGGCTATTGTGAATTGTGCTGTTATAAACATGGGTATGCATATATTGCTATAGTATGATGACTTTAATTCTTTAGGATAAATGCCAAGGAATATAACTGGGTCATATGGTGGTTCCATTTCTAGTCTTTTGGGAACCTTCATACTGATTTCCATAATGGCCTGTACTAATTTACAATCGTACCAACAGAGTAAAAATGTTCCTCTTTCTCCACATCTTCTCCAGCATTTGTTATTGTTTGTGTTCTTGATGACTGCCATCCTAACTGGAGATGAAATCTCAGGGTAGTTTTGATTTACATTTCCCTAATTGCTAATGATGTTGAACACTTTTGTTCATGTGTTTGTTGGTCATTTGTATTTTTTCTATTGAGAAGTTTTAGTTCATTTGTTTAGTGATATTAATTTTTTTGTTAAGTTTTTTGAGTTCTTTATATATTCTAGATATTAATCCTCTGTCAGAAAAGTAATTAGCAAATATATTCTCCCATTCTGTAGGTTCTCTCT